TCGGAAAATAGGTTTACATGTAACCCAAGCAACTCATACAAGGCAATATCAAGAATACTCTCTAATCACCTATCGGGATTAAGAGCTTTCCTAGCTAGCATACACTCACACTATCGTCGTAAGGCATACAAGCTAAGGTCATGCAATAATCAATCACCTAATGACTATTCCTAAGTCGCACTATCGTCACGATTTAGTTCACGTCATTCAACCACAACATGCATATGGCCATAAACATGGAGTGGCTAATAAGTATAAGCACAAGGAAGATTTAATCACAAATATTCCAAATTAACCTAGCCTAGCATACATCAAAATCAAAGCATATCTTCACCAAACCCCTAGCAACAAGAAACTACTCACTAGTCATAACTACAACTACAATCATACTAAGCAACATTATAACCAATGGAATAGTAAGAAAGATAAAGTTTTTATCAACTAAACTAACAAAGGTAGAAACTTTAATCATAAAAACAAGAGAAAATAGAGAAATGTACCAAAACCTTCATTGAAATCCAAATAAAGAGCCATACATCATTCAATCTCCAAGCTTGACCATACATCATTCAATCCAAAATAATTCTTCAAAAACTAAGAGTAAAACTAATGTTGATAGGCAATGAAAATTACACAAAAAACTATCAAGATTGTTCAATACAAAAGTGGCTAAAACAAAAAACCTAGAAAAATTCCTTAAAAGCTCTCCTCTAAGGTTTCTATGCTCAAATAATATCTCTATGATAGAATGTTGTCCCTAGTTAGCCGTTTTGCCTCCCCTTTTGTTAATTTGGGCTGAAACCGGGATTTGAATCAGCAGCAGACAGGCGCGCCCGCGCCTAACAATGGCGCGCCCGCGCTTTAAATGATGGCGCGGCCGTTCCTAGAAATGCGCGCCCGCTCCAAAGTGGGTATTTAATAGTTGGTCCAGCTCATCAACGCGCCCGCGCCTAAAGGTGGCGCGCCCGCTCCTCTGGTGGCGCGCCCGCGCCATTTGCCTGGTCTGGATTTCTTCCCGTTTTGCCCTTGTTCCTTCCATCTCCGAATCAACGGCATACACCTGCAATCATGGAACAGGAAAGCAAGGCGTAATACAACGAAAGGGGAGGGGAGCATAGACTACCTAAACCATATGAGTACACATTACGCGCCACAAAGGTGACTACCTAAACCATATGAGTACACATTACGCGCCACAAAGGTAGAATACTAGAACTAGGTGGATCATAGCAAAAACATACTAAAATGGACCGAATTATTACAAAAACTACTAGAAAAGACTGTCCTAAGAGCGACATAAATGTCACTCATCAGAGACTATACCGAAATTTACATTTGCATTCAATAATATTGCATTTTAATTTCAATTATTAGCGTTGGCATATTACTTTATACCACTAGCAAGGAAAACAGGTACTACAAACATATAAAAGCAATTAAAACAATTAAAAAAAAATCACCTCATTTGCGTCACTCATTAAACAAACAAGGTACGCAAATAAAGCAATTTTGTATTGTCTAGTCAGTCATTTGCGTCACTCCTATATAAACAAGTGACGCAAATAACAAACAAGAAGTTGATCAGACCAGCTATTTGCGTCACTCCTTTATAAAAGAGCGACGCAAATAAGAGTCATTTGCGTCACTCCTTTATAAACGAGCGACGCAAATGACTCTTATTTGCGTCGCGCCTAGGAGCGACGCAAATGACTTTTAAATCATTTGCGTCGCTCATAGAAGCGACGCAAATACAGTATAAATGAGCCTTTTTCTACTAGTGACACTACTTAAGGATGGTACAAACGGGGTTTATATGCTTTCCTAAAACTCAATGACGCCTCTTTACTTTGTAGAACCATGTCTCCCAAACAGTCATGAATTCAAATCATCCCTAAACATAAGCCCGAACTTTAAAAGGCCAAAGGCATCGAGGGGTGTACCCTACAAGACACCTTCCTGAAAATGGAGACTATTGGAGACTTAGATATTATGTGCATAAAACTTACTTCCTCCGCTTTTTATAGTGTCTCATTGGGAGTTTTAACACTATTATTCATTAGACCTACTTTGACCAATGTTTATGAATTACACATTAAAAATTAGTCTTTTGAGTACTTGTTGGAATCGTTTCAGTGAGTAGATTATTGATATTCAATTGTTATAATTTATAGTTATTGATAATTAAAGATATTATTTTTCAAAGTTTTGCATTGGCATGTGTGTCATGGCCGGGGCACGTAAAAAACTGACAGAGTACTACAATTTAAGGATACCGCTTTGATACGAAAAAGAAGAACAATGACCTATTTTTTATAATTTTTGTGAGTACAGGTTGGTAAGGAGAAATAAAGATATGATCTTGGATCAAGATCTAGTGAACAAAAGCAAGCTAAAATAATGAAACACATAATAATGATTATCTAGCAAAATGACTTGATTCACTAGTCTCGAAATCTAGAGAAATAAGGGTTTCAATTAAATCAATTACAAAGTTTGATAAAATTGATGTCTTATCACAAAGTCTAAGGCCTCGTTCACTTCACCTTATTTTTGCTAAACTAAATTATTTTTACGAAATTGAAATTATTTTTGCTAAACTTAAATTATTTTTATTGAAATGAAATTGATTTTACTGAACTGAAATAATTTTTGTTGAATTGAAATTATTTTTGTTGATTCTCTTTTATATAACTTCTTTAGAGTTACTGATTTTTACTAAAGTGAAATTACTTTTGCTGAACCGAATTATATTTGCTAAACTGAACTTATTTTTAGTGAAGTGAAACTATTTTTTTTACTGAATATTGTTATTTTAAAGTGAAGTGAACATGGCCTAAGCTTACATCATAAAATATCTTCTTTTATATAAAGATACTAGTACATGAAATAAAACCCTAAACCTCAATTATACAAAATAAAAGATTATAATTAATTACAAAATACTTCCTCCATTATTTTATTAGAGTCTTATTTCTAACATTTATTACTCACATAATAAAGAGAAATGAGACTCTAAAAAAAAAGACAGAGGAAGTAATAATTAAAAATAAAAACGACATTAACTATATCCCACAAAAGAAGAAAATCATCAAAATAAGTCACGTTACTCAAATGTTTTTCAACCCTGATCAAGTCAACATTATCAAATATAGCACAAAAATAGTGTTGATACTCCCGCAATTGGTCTTGGCTGCACTCTAGTGCAGCCAAGATAGCTACAACAAGTGAGGCACAAAACGCGCGGCCCAAATAAAAAATGAACATTTAGTTAAAAAATATGAACATGAAAAAAGAAATGAACATTTAATAACAAAAAATAAACACGTAAATAAAATGAACATTTAATACTAAAAAGTTTACATGTTATAAGGAAATGATCATTTATTAAAAATGAATCTGATTATCATATAATCATAAATTTGTTAGACCACAACCTTAAAAATGAACATTTAGGTAGAAAAATGAACACATAAAAAAAAAGAATATTCGGTAATAAAAAAGAACACGTAAAAAAATGAACATTCAGTAATAAAAAGTGAACATGTAAAAAAATGAACATTTAGTATATTACAAATGAACCTTTATCATACAACCATAAAATTGGGATCATATACATTGGAAATTCTCCAACTTAAAGGCAAATTCGTTGTAATAACATATACTTCTTCATCACTTCTTACTTGTTTCTTCACTAATTTAAAGTCTTTGTCTTCTACAAATACAATTAATTTGTACTCACTAAAATATAACAAATTATCAAAATTCATAATCATCACAACATATGTTCATAATAATTATTTAGAATGTTCATAATATATAATCAACAATACAGTAGTTAAAAATATAAATAATTATCACGCTATTTGTCATATGTGTTCATAATCAATAACAGATATGTTTGTAATGAATAACGAAACATATATATTCATAATAAATTGTTCAGATTTTCAACACTAAATGTTCAGATAATTTAACTTTCAGCGTATTATATTTTACTTTCAACCTAATAAAAATGAACATTTAGTAGTAAAAAATAAACACTTATAAAATGAACATGTAACAAAATGTTATGAACATTTAGTATATAAAAATGAACTTGATTTTCATAAAGGTTCAAATTCATTGTATATAATTATTAATGAAAAATAAAGATAAAATAAATTGTTGAAATGTGTTCATTTTTTATGCATTTAATATTCATTTTCGGTGTACGAAATGCTCATTTTGTAAGAGATGTTCATTTTTAAAGTCCTACGTGTTCTTTTTTTTTTTTGCAGAAATTATATTCAAGATCGAATGTAATTATTGAAACTCTAAAAAATTGAATATCCACCTTAAATCTAATCTTGATTCATCATAGAGAAATTAATTATTGATTTGTAACATGATTAGAAATCAAAAGAAAAAAAAAATAAAAGAAAAGGAGAGAGAGAGAAAGAGATAGAGAGAGGGGGGGAGAGAGAGAAAATAACTACAAATTAAGCAACACAATTGATATTCATTAATAATTAAGAAATTTAATTGATATTCATCACAAACTCATAATAATTTCAAACAATCAAACAATAAATCATCATGCATGATCAACGAAATCATACAAAATACAATAACAAATTGATAAAATCAAACCTCCATTGTTTTGTTTGACCTTCAACTTTCTCTCTCCTCCATTTTTTTTCTTTACACTTTGATAAAGCCAAATGATTGAATCTGAAACTCATAGATTTAGAAAGTTTGTCCGTTACAAATAATTTGGCTTTATCAAAGTTCGAATTGGAAATAATTTGTCCGTTACAAATAAATATCCATCTGCGTAGAAAAGTAGTATTTTTAACGGTCGGTAAGGTGTCCGTTACAAATAAATACTTATTCGTAACGTGCATCTTTCTGTCCATTACGAATAAATATTTATTTGTAACGGACACCTTACTGGTCGTTACAAACACTAAATTATTCGTAACGGACATTTTCTGTCTATTACAAATAGTAAAGTCAAAACGTGATTAACCTACTTATTTGTAATGGACATAAAATATCCGTTACGAGTAAAAGTTGGAATTTTTTTTTTATTTTTATTTTGCACAGATTCAAATCTAACCCTAAATTATTTCCAATTCCCCCTATTAAATCCGTTTTGCGTGTCGTCCCTCATTCACTTTTCCTCATTGAAGCCTAGATTTGTTCCCCGTTGAAGCGCAATCTCTTCTCCGGTGCCTTCTCCGTCGCCGGTCACCGTCCCTTCTCTCGCCTTTTCGTCTCTTTCTCCATGTTCCCCATTGAAGCGCAATCTCAGCCTTTTCGTCTCTTTCTCCCTTCTCTCGCCGGTCCTCTCTTTCTGGTTTGTCCGTCGCCGGTCTTGGGATTGTTGGGCCTGTGTGTGCCGAAAATTGTAGGCTGCCTGGTTTATCAAAGGAACTCCGGTGGGTGGTGGTTTGTTGGGTGGTGGAAATTGGAGAAGCTTTGTTTAGGGCGGTGAAATTTGAATGCTGATGTCGGATGCCCTAAATTGAAGACAGTTGGCTTGAAATGTCACAGGTGATTTTCTGAATTTCTATCAATTTCATTTGCATGTTCTTGAATTTTAATTTTAGCTTTAATTGTTTAGAACTGAAACCGTATTGTTGGGATTATAGATACAATGCTATGATTTTTTTTACTAGTCTCAGATGTCACTTTAAGCTGCAAAATCAGCCCTCTTAGAGATCAAACTTTGTGATTTTCAAAAATAATATTACCATCGAATTACTTTTTTTTTACTAGTCTCATATGTCGCTTTAAGCTGCAAAATCAGCCTTCTTAGAGATCAAACTTTGAGAATATGCAAATTATAGTGTTACAAATATGATTTACGAGTAATTTTTTTTTTAAAAAAAAAAATGTTTGCATAATGTTGGAGTTAGCTTTGAGATCATTGATGGACATAATTAGGTATGTAAATTCGACATAGTGAGAGTTAGGTATTCCCTATTCAATGTAATCTTGACTCTTGAGAGATGTTATCGTTGGTGTTTCGTGCTGGACTAATTACAACTTCAATCTGGTCTCTGTTCATCGCAACTTGCAAAGAATGTTTCATTTATGGAGGAGATGAGCCCACTGAAGACTAAGTAATTAACTTGTGTTGAATTTACTGTCCTAGATCAACAAGTAGGTTGCTAGAGTTCTAAAATCCAAATTTTGATAACATGTTTTGTTATATTATTTGGATCCCATCTTTGTAATACGATGATTAATGTTCTCTAATTCAAGGTCTTTTCATACTTGGCGATGGTCATGTGAACAGTTTCCTGATAGATTTCTGAACTGTTTATGTTATGCAGGTGCCAAATACTATTTAGGAATCAGGAATCGAAGATCACTCAATAGGAAGCTCATCATAAATTCATCAGACTTGCTGATGTTGGATGCCCTAAATTGAAGACAGTTGGCTTAAAATGTCACAGGTGATTTTTTGAATTTCTATCAATTTCATTTGCATGTTCTTGAATTTTAATTTTTGCTTTAATTGTTTAGAACTGAAACCGTATTGTTAAGATTATAGATACAATGCTATGAATTTTATTTTTTTTATTTTTTATTTTTTATTTTTCGTGTGGGGAGCTTCTATGATGTTTGTTTGAGCTAACTAATATTCTAGCTTCAATTGTGTTAAGCTTTTTACTATTTGTTTCTAAGCCTTTGTGTACCTGGCCTCTTAGGTAGTTTGTATAGTTTGTATAGTTGGATTATTATTTTTTTTTATGTTCTTTAAAGTAGTATAATAAATTCATAATTTTGAAAGCATTAGTAGCTAGAATCTTGTAGCTTACTATTTCTGGCCTTCAAATCATTTTAGCAATATCAATTCACAGTTTTTCTCAAATTTAAATATGTTGGATTATCCTACTAACAAAGTCTCCCACAATTTTTCTCTAAAGTTCTAATCTTTCATTGCTCTTTCGAATTCAACTAATAAAGTTCTAATCTTTCATTGCAGTAGGGGTTATCCTGAACTCTTTCTCCCTCGCAAGTTCCTCGTTTCCCCCTCGCAACTCCGGTGGGTGGTGGTTTCTTGCGATTTTTTCCGGCATGTGAAGAACTTAAGGTAATAAGTTTACTTTACTCAAAGTAATAAGTTTTATTTTTTTCCGAGCCTTAATTTTTAGAAAAATTAAATCTGTTAAGGTTTTCATATAATTTTTTTGGTAGTGAGGTGAAGAACAGTTGAATTTTTTTCTAGTTCAATCATTTTTTGATTATTTTTCAGTTGAATTTTTTAATTAATTTTTTAATTATTTCTGTTCTTTTTGAACATGAAGTTTTAGTTTTCAATTCATTTTTTTTGCTATAATTGGGGAGAGTGATGCTGAAAACACTGAAATATTGTTTGCAGGAACCGTGTGGCAGTAATGAGTCTTGGATAACCAGTTTAGTGAAGTCAGGACAAGCTCCGGCGCCTTTATCAGCAAGGCAAGGTCTGTTTTTAGTCTTAATTTTCGGCATTTTTGATGTGGTGTAGTGTATTTTGTTGATTGAAATTGTTTTGTCTTAAACTTTTAACGATGATTTGTTTAGCTAAGAGAATTGAAATTAAACTAAGATTGATTGTGTATTAGATTATGTGATTAGCGTAGAAATTTTGAATCCAAGGGATGATGAAGAATGAGTGTGTTAATTAGGTGTGTTAAATGAAGAATTAGTGTTACTATGTAAGAGGATAGGAAATGGAGGTTTTTGTGACGAATTCCTAAGAATTAGAGGTAGAGGTGAATATTTTTCTCGCATTTGGAAAATTAAAAAGTATGTTTTACTTTATATAGATACTTTTAGTGTATAGTTTCATGGTTGGTCTATTTTATTGTATGTGCATAATTTATTTGCATCAAATATCAAATTTTCTTTGTTAGGTAAATAACTCATGTTTATGTGTTTGGTTACTTTTATTTGACATGATAGATCTTGAATGTGTTAATATTTATTATGCATTATATCTTCATATGCCTAGATACCCGTTCAAGATTTACTCGTTAGGAGTAATCTTGAATAGTCCCCTTTTGAGACTGTTCTTGGAATTGTATTCTCACTTAGGATGCAAATGGTTGCTTGTTTTTCGGAAGTAAAGGTAATTTTGTGTTAGCATTCCCTAATGTGTTCTCGGGGTACATATGTAATAAAGAAATTAATTACATCGTGTACTTTGAGAACCATAGGGAAATGCTGCCGAAATTTCCTTAGGGCCGAAAAATGGTCAACCATTTGCTAGTGAGAATACACTTCCAAGGATGGGTTAGTTTGGAGCGATAAGGACCTTTGGAATCATGCATTTAGAATGTGTTGATATGTGATGTTGAATATAATTTGTTTCTTGGTTTTTAATCATACATTTTTAGAAATGGACCGTCATTGGATGTATAATGGTTCTCGAACCACACCAGAATACTTAGCCGGGGTCAACGAGTTCTGTAGAATCGCAGTGCAACACCAATGGAGTACACTCGTTGAACAAAGGCTAACCAAAGCAAGACCTGTTTTCTGTCCTTGTCGTGATTGTAACAATGTTAAGAGGTGGGAAGACATTAAGAAAATAGAGGACCATTTGATTATTCGTGGTTTATGCCAGACTACAGTATTTGGTATTGGCATGGTGAAAAATTTCCTCCCGCGGATAATTCTTCTATTAACGACAATGAAGCTGATGAGAGAGAGCCGAATGGTTTTGATGATAATGAAGTGGGTTTTAATGATGACATGGAGGAAGACAAGATAGAAGAGATGATAGACGGGTTAGGCGATCATGGTCATGAAGATTCTCATATATATGAGGATGTGTCGAAAGCAGATGAGACACCATTGTATCCTGGTTGTTCTAAGTATTCCAAGCTTTCTGGGATTTTAACTTTATATAACTTGAAAGCGAAGAGCGGGTGGACCAACACTAGTTTCACTTTGTTGTTAGAAACCCTCTCTGATATGTTTTCCAGAAGGAAATGACATTCCTAATTCGATCGACTTAATATGCGAAGAAGTTGATGCGTCCATTGGGTTTAGAGTACACCAAGATCCATGCATGTCCTAATGATTGTGTGCTATATCGAAAGGAGAATGCAAAATTGGATGCTTGCCCAAAGTGTGGTGTGTCACGATACAAGCAAGAGGGCTTAAATAAGGATCCCTTGAAGTGGACACCAGCTAAGGTAGTATGGTATCTTCCTATAATACCAAGGTTGAAGCGCCTGTTCTCAATTAAGGATGAAGCAAAGAAGTTGGTTTGGCATGAAAATGAGAGGAAGAAGGATGGGTTGATCAGACACCCAGCTGATTTGTTGCAATGGAAACACATTGACAAAACATTTCCAGAATTCGGGAAGGAGCCGAGGAACATAAGACTGGCATTAAGTACGGATGGAATGAATCCATTTAGCACTCTTAGTAATCAACATAGTACATGGCATGTTCTTCTGTCAATATACAACCTACCTCCTTGGTTGTGCATGAAGCGCAAGTACATCATGTTATCACTTCTAATCCCAGGTCCTAAACAACCTGGCCATGAGATAGATTTTTATTTGGAGCCCCTTATTGACGATTTGAAACTGTTGTGGGATGAAGGTGTTGTGACATTTGATGCTCTTTCGGGTACAAATTTCAGATTAAGAGCCATAGTGTTTTGTACTATTAATAACTTTCCTGCATATGGAAATTTATCAAGGTACAAAGTCAGAGGACAAAAACCATGCCCTATTTGTGAGGATGACATGCAAATTACACGCTTGAAGCATTAGGGGAAGAATGTGTACATGCATACCAGACGATCACTTCGTCGAAATCACCCATACAGGAAGATGAGACAACAATTCGACGGGCATGTTGAGAAGGGAGTGAGTCGTGAGCCATCGACAGGAATTGAAGTGTATGAGAAAATTAAAAATGTTAAGACAATCTTCAGTAAGATGCACAGAGAGATACCGAAGAAGGGTGTGTTGTGGAAAAAAGTGTCTAAGTTGTGGGATCTGCCTTATTGGAAGCACTTATCGGTTCGACATTGTCTTGATGTTATGCACATTGAAAAAAATGTTTGTGAGGCAGTAATTGGGACTTGTTGAATATCAAAGGGAAGATAAAGGATGGTGTTAATGTGCGTAGATACATGAAGGAAGCCAAAATTCGACCTAAGTTATGGGCTGAGGAAAATGAAGCAACGAAAAAAGCATTTTTGCCCCATGCGTGTTATACATTGTCTAGAGAAGAAAAAAGGATCTTTTGTGAGTGTTTGAAAGGAATCAAGGTGCCGACAGGGTATTCGTCGAACATAAGGCGTTTTGTTTCTACTCTTGATAAGAAAGTTGTTGGTATGAAGTCCCATGATTGTCATGTGATGATGCAAGTGTTCATGCCAATTGCACTCCGAGGCCTTTTGCCAAAACATGTTAGGCATGCTATTGTGAAGCTTTGCTTGTTTTTCAATGCAATTTGCAGTAAGGTGATAGATCCAAAAACACTCGATGATATGGAATATGATATTGTTGAAACATTATGCAAATTCGAGATGTATTTTCCTCCTTTCTTTTTTGACATAATGACTCACCTTGTTATGCACTTGCCTCGTGAGATAAAGGAGTGCGGTCCTGTATTTATGCGTTGGATGTACCCTTATGAGAGGAAAATGGGTACTTTGGCAGATAAGGCAAAGAACAGAGCAAATCCTGAAGGGAGCATCGTGAAAGGGTTCATAGCAGAGGAAGCAGGGAACTATTGTTCAGTGTTTTTAGCTAAGGCTAAAGAAATTGGGATTCCGACTTCTCGTCACGAGGGAAGACTTCAAGGAAAGGGTACAGTAGGTCGGAAATTGGTTAAACCTCCACTTGATTGATATAAGAAAGCCAACCGATTTGTGCTACAAAACCTATCTGCAGTTCATCCATATATTGAAAAACATCTTCATGAGTTGAAAAATCACAATCCCAGGATCAGCTCCTATGCGTTGATGTAGGAGCATAATCGCCACTTTGTTGAGTGGTTTGAAGGCCAAGTGAAGCTTGAATTGAGTAGAGATGAGAATGTTTCTGAAACGATCAAGTGGCTTTCACGAGGTCCACAACCACTTGTGTATACTTATGAGGGTTACGATATCAATGGATTTACTTTTGCCACTTGTCGTCAAGATGAAAAAAGTGTGCAACAAAATAGTGGTGTTGTCGTGGTTGCATCTTCTACTGAATACTCAAGTTCTAGGGATACAAGGCCAGTTGAAGCTACACAGGCATATTACGGTGTCATTCAAGAAATCTGGGAGTTGGATTATGTTGATTTCACAATTCCTTTATTTCGTTACACATGGGCTGATAACCGTCGTGGTATGAAAACCGATGAGTTATTTGGATTCACCTTGTTTGACTCTAGTCGTTATACTGATGGTGAAAAGCCTTTTGTATTAGCCTCACAATCGAAACAAGTATTCTACATCAAGGATAATATAGATCCGCAATGACATGTTGTAGTTGAAGGCAAGAGAAAAATTGTGGGTGTGGAAGATGTTGTGGATGAAGAAGAGTATGACCAATTTGATGACATCCTGCCTATAACAATGGGAGTGAAACCTCTACAAGAAGGGGAAGATATTGTTGATGATGTAGAGTATGATCGTGAGGAAGGGTTAGTGGTTCCTATAACTACAACCAAGGTTTGTGTTATTGTATTCCTTTAACAATAGTATTTTTTTGCAATTAATATTGAATTTATTAAATTGGTATATATCTAAATCATTAATTTCTTTATTGTATAGTATTTACATTAATATGATTTTATTGTTATGATTTTGATTCTATTCTTGTTAATTTCATTCTTTGTGTAGGTGTAGGCATACTACAATGGAAGAAAACAGAGATGATCATATGGACAGGAACAATCTAGTGACATGGATGCCTCCACTTCCCAAGTAAAATCTTCTACAAAAAAGGGACGAGGCCCATCTAGATCAGTCTAAACAACTACACCCATGTTCCTTGAATTTGATGAGTTTGACATGCCTATTGGAAAGTGGGAATCTGCTTATGGGAAGCAAATTGGTAATTGTGCTCAAAGAGTTAACATTAATGTGAAGGGAATTCCGAAGTATGATAAAGTTCAAAAGCAAAACTTGTGGGAGGAGAGTAAGGTAATTACGATATAAATATGGTTTATTGCTCTAAATTTAATGATACTTATAATTAGTTATGAATATTAACATTCTCTAATTTTGTAACGGAAGTTCCACATTGATGATCCCAAGGGTAGTAAAGAGAAGAAGTTCCACGAAGCTGTTGGTGCTAGATTTAGGAAGCACAAGTCTTGGTTAGTTTCACGATTCATTACTAAGGAAACTGCACCTCCGCTTGACTCACCAAGTGCAAACATTAAGCCCTGGGAGCTTTATGAAGGTTACATCACAGAAGAGCAATGGAAAGAGTTTGAGACATATTGCAATATAAATGAATTTAAGGTGTGTAAGATATTATGAAAGTATTTTTCACATATATACTTTATTTCAACTACAATACTACTTACAATAGCTTTCCATTTTGTAATAGGCTCTGAGTGAGAAAGGCAAGGAAAATGCAAAGAATAATAAGCATCGCCACCATCTAGGCTCCAAGAGTTATGAGAGGGATCGAGTTGATTGGACTAAGACCAATAGAATTCCAGCAGAATCTTCAACCTCAAGCACCACAGAGTCCACGACAAGACGTGTAATGAGTGAAAAGCTTAAAAATCGGTCTCTTTATTGGATTTTGGCCCGTAAAACTCGTAATGCAGATGGATCGTGGGCTATAGACCCGAAGAATGCCGAAACCCAGTAAATAGCCAATGCTATTGTAAGTGTTGTTCTAATTAACCAAGTATATTTTTTTTCAGTTACTTGTTTATACTTTTGAGTTGATCAGTGATCAGGCCTTTTTTGTTTATTGCTCATTTCCTGCATTGTTTAATGGGAGGCCTTTTTTGTTTATTGCTCATTACTTGCTTCGTGCGTTGTTTAATGGGATTTGCTAAAATTGAGGCCTTTTTCGATCAGTTCTAATCAGTCCCAATCTGTTATGATCCGTTCCGATTAGTTCTGAAATTACAGTTCTGACCAGTTCCAATCAGTTCTGATTAGTTCTAATCCGTTCCGGTAAGTTCTGAAATTTCAGTTCTGATCAATTCCGATCAGTTCTGAAATTTCAGTTCCGATCATTTCTGAAATTTCGGTTCTGATAAGTTCTGATCAGTTCCAATCAGTTCTGAAATTTCAGTTCTGATCAGTTCCGATCAGTTCTGATCAGTTCTGAAATTTCAGTTATGATCAGTTCTGAACAGTTCCGGTAATGAGCGAGCTAGTTCTGTTATTTAGATGCTTACCTCTATTTTAAATTTTGTTTTTCATCAGAAGTGCGGTGCTGAACTCTTGATGATATTAAATAATTAGGATAGCTAAGAGAATTTGTCCTTGCCTTTTTCTGTATGCATGGTTAAGTAATTTATGCAATTAAGATAGCCTTGATTGTTGTTGCTTGCTTAGTTGTTGTTGTGACCGTTGTGACCCCTTCACCATCTCAATTAGTTGATGAAGGCCTTATCATCCAATTTTCCAATTGTTGAACATAATGGGGGTACATATTATCTAAATTTCTTTACTTGCATGAATTATCATCTGGGATATTGGCAGTAGAAGATTGAGCGCAAAGTTGTCTACAAACTAAAAGTTGTAAGAAGGTCCTTTATAAGCACTTTACTGTACAAGCAATTGCATTTTTAAACAGGCCCACAATGTACATTGATTTCCATTTCCATGTGCACACTTTTTTTTTTTTATGTTTTCATATTATACAGATTGCGCTTGTACTTGACTGTATTATACACTCATATTGGTGTTGTACATTGAGATTATTATATAATAATTTCTATCCCCTACTTTCTGTCCTGGCTCTTGTTTGCACTCTTCTTCTTTGTTTCTCCTTATTTGATTACTTACTTCTACTATATTCTCTGTTTTCCCTATGTTCCCCTCTGTCCCTAATCTGAATGTGGCTCACCATGTCGTAGTAGTGGTAAGTATCTGTCTTTGTGCAAATAATCAAGTCCAGCAATCATGTCATAAGCTCTTCTGAAATTTCAGTTCCGATCAGTTCTGAAATTTCAATTCTGATCAGTTTTGATCAGTTCTGAAATTTTAGTTCCGATCAGTTCTGAAATTTCAGTTCTGATCAGTTCCGATCAGTTCTGAAATTTCAGTTCCGATCAGTTCTGAAATTTCAGTTCCAATCAGTTCTGAAATTTCAGTTCCGATCAATTCTGAAATTTCAGTTCCAATCAGTTCTGAAATTTCAGTTCTGATCAGTTCTGAAATTTCAGTTCTGATCACTTCCGACCAGTTCTGAAATTTCAGTTCCGATCAGTTCTGAAATTTCAGTTCTGATCAGTTCCGATCACTGAAATTTCAGTTCCTATCAGTTATGAAATTTCAGTTCCAATCAGTTCTGAAATTTCAGTTCTGAACAATTCCGATCAGTTCTGAAATTTCAGTTCCGATCAGTTCTGAAATTTCAGTTCCGACCAGTTCTGAAATTTCAGTTCCGATCAGTTCTGAAATTTCAGTTCTGATCACTTCCGATTAGTTCTGAAATTTCAGTTCCAATCACTTTCGATCAGTTCTGAAATTTCAGTTCTGATTAGTTCCGAACACTTGAATTTCAATTCCGATCAATTCTGAAATTTCAGTTCTGATCAGTTCCGATCAGTTCTGTTCATTTCTATGCTATATATGCTGTAGGCTACAAGTCTATTTATGGATATCATTTTTTTTCAATTCAGGTTCTTGTTCTGCCATATCTTATATATGTTTTTTTTAATAGTTGGAAAACTTGCAAAAGAATGATGAAGGAAACAATTCAAGTGATGGTATTGGTATGGATGCCCTTGACAAGGCTTTAGGAAAAAGGGATCACCGCGGGCATGTAAAAGCACTAGGAAGGTGTGGGGTTGGAGTTAGGAAGGTGTGGGGTTGGAGTTAGTCACACACAAGTATTTGGGAAGGGATACAAAAAGGGTAAATCATTCGGCCAAGGTGGATGCTCATTAGAAGAGTTAGAATCAATGAAAGCTACCCTAACTCAAGAATTTGAGGCGAGGCTAGAAGAAAAGGTTAAAGAGAAGCTTCAAGAGAGGATTGAAGAGAGGATCGAAGAGAGGATCGAAGGTGAAATCTTATCTCGCCAATTTACTACCACAGATGACCGGTGACGTGGAGGCATTTCAAGGAATGCAAGTGATGACGAACATGGAGGCAACACAAAGCCCTCGTGTAATAGAGGTATATGTCTTTAACTAATACTAAAGATATGACTTTACATGGTTAACATTAATAATATTGATCGAGTTTTTTGTAATATGTAGGTAGCCACTAAATGTCGCCTAGCATTGAAAGATGAGTACAATCAAAATTTAGTGGTTGTGGCAGATGGAACGGTATATCCTGTTACCGGTGAAGTTACTCACAACCTGAAGATGTTACCTGATCATTACAGGGTTACTGTGGACAACCCTTATCCCGACTGTGCCCTCCTCGATATACCGGTACCGTCTCTCGATGGTGTGACTAAGTTGGGAAAAGCCAAGTCTTCCTTTGTACTATGGCCTATAGACATGGTTTTTTTTTTTTTGAAGAAGAGGTATATTCTCCTACTATTAACATTAAATCCCATCATTTTTGTATACTTTATCTAGACTAATATTCACCTATTTGTAAAGGTTTCACCATCGCCCAAAAAGAAGCATAGATCTCGCCAAAGCAAAGAAGGGGACGATAGTTGTGGTGTGAAATCAAGGCAATCTACCATCAAACCCACAAAATTCCTACCACTTGAAGATAAAATTGTCGATACTTTTGGCGAGGGGTGTGAGTTGTTGTATTGGTTAATGAATTTTGATGATGCAAAGTATGATACAACATCGGTACTTTTAAAGGCCTCAATGTTTAATTTTGATAGCGACAAACAGATTTGGGTAACCGCTACCGATGTACGTGAATTTCTAAGAGGATCGTGGGCTAATGTTTCATTGATTCATGTTTATATCATGTAGCTTACTTAATCTTCCTTTAATTTGGTTCTTATATTCACTATAGTAATATTTTTAATGGTATAATGCTGAATTTTTTGTTTTCTATGTCTTTATCATGTAGGTATTTAGTAGACAACTTCATCGACCTTTTCAACAGGACTGAGATCACATTCTTTTGTCCTCAACTCATTTTTGAATCTTCAATTGAGAATGATTACCTTGAAACTTATACATATGTGAAGAATACATTTTTGCATGAAGTAAGAAAGACGGGTAAACGTTGCAAATTCATCGTGGCTCCATATGTCGCAAGGTTCGAAATATGTTTTTTATATTGCCACTAAACTTAATCATATAAATGATATGTTTTTCACCCATTTTCCAATACTCTAACTTATGTTTTTCTCTTAAATGATGTAGTGGTCATTGGGTTCTTGTGGTGGTCAATCTACAATTAGGTTTAGCTTATGAGTTTGACTCTATGAAGCTACCTAAAGAAAATCCACGAAAATTGAAAATTGCCAAGATTATGATGACGTGAGCCACAACCTTGAAATTATGCCCTAGTTTCTATATCATTTTTGTATGTGGTGTTGTAGATTATTTTGTTCTAAGTGTTAGAATATATATTATTTTTGTAGGGCTTATAAAGTATATCAGGCGAATCTCACAGGGAGTGAATTGAAATCACAAAGGCAAAAATTGAAATTCATACAAATGGAGGTAAATACACTACTCACCCCATATTGTTATACATTGTTCACTTTGAAAACAAAATTTTTAACTATTTGTTATATATACTAGTGTGCTCAACAACAAGGAGGAGTTGAATGTGGCTACTACATTATGAGATACATGTATGAGATTGTTACTTCTCACTTGGAGTGCAAAGGTGTCATAGAAGAGGTTAGTAGTTTTTTTTTTTGCAAATTTTGAAACCTTTTTAGCTCTATACGCTCCCAAGAGTAAGATAATGGTCAATTGTTATTGATTTCAATTCATAAAAATCAAATATAAGGTAATTAAGGATTTTTAGTGTTATATTGTGTTAATTTGAACACATACTTGAAAGATGGGAAAGGTAGAAGTCCCTTAGATAATTTTGAAGCATTTTTGGCTCTATACGCTCCCAAGAGTGAGATAATGGTCAATTTTCATTGATTTCAATTCATAGAAACAAAAATATAAGGTAACTAAGGAAGTTTAGTGTTATATTGTGTTAATTTGAACCAATACATGAAAGATGGGAAAGGTAGAAGTCCCTTAGGCAATTTTGAAGCCTTTTTGGCTCTATACGCTCCTTAAAGTGAGTAAATGGTCAATTTTCATTGATTTTAATTCATAGAAACCAAAATATAAGGTAATTAAGGATGTTATGTGTTATATTATGTTAATTTGAACAAATACTTGAAAGATGGGAAACGTAGAAGTCCCTTAGACAATTTTGAAGCGTTTTTGGCTCTATACGCTCCCAAGAGTGAGATAGTGGTCAATTTTCATTGATTTCAATTCATAAAAACCAAAATATAAGGTAATTAAGGATGTTATGTGTTTTATTGTGTTAATTTGAACAAATACTTGAAAGATGGGAAAGGTAGAAGTCCCTTAGGAAATTTTGAAGCGTTTTTGGCTCTATACACTCCCAGAGTGAGATAATAGTCAATTTTCATTGATTTCAATTCATAGAAACCAAAATATAAGGTAATTAAGGATGTTTAGGGTTATATTGTGTTAATTCACCAATACATGAAAGATGGGAAAGGTAGAAGTCCCTTAGGCAATTTTGAAGCCTTTTTGGCTCTATACGCTCCTAAAAGTGAGTAAATGGTCAATTTTCATTGATTTCAATTCATAGAAACCAAAATATAAGGTAATTAAGGTTTTATGTGTTATATTGTGTTAATTTGAACAAATAATTGAAAGATGGGAAAGGTAGAAGTCCCTTAGACAATTTTGAAGCGTTTTTGGCTCTATACGCTCCCAAGAGTGAGATAGTGGTCAATTTTCATTGATTTCAATTCATAGAAACCAAAATATAAGGTAATTAAGGTTTTATGTGTTATATTGTGTTAATTTGAACAAATAATTGAAAGATGGGAAAGGTAGAAGTCCCTTAGACAATTTTGAAGCGTTTTTGGCTCTATACGCTCCCAAGAGTGAGATAATGGTCAATTTTCATTGATTTCAATTCATAAAAACCAAAATATAAGGTAATTAAGGATTTTCAGTATTATATTGTGTTAAACCAATACATGAAAGATGGGAAAGGTAGAAGTCCCTTAGGCAATTTTGAAGCCTTTTTGGCTCTATACGCTCCAAGAAGTGAGTAAATGGTCACTTTTCATTGATTTCAATTCATAGAGACCAAAATATAAGGTAATTAATAATGTTTAGTATTATATTGTGTTAATTTGAATAAATACTTGAAAGATGGGAAAGGTAGAAGGCCCTTAGGCAATTTTGAAGCGTTTTTGGCTCTATACGCTCCCAAGAGTGAGATAGTGGTCAATTTTCATTGATTTCAATTCATAAAAACCAAAATATAAGGTAATTAAGGATTTTCAGTATTATATTGTGTTAAACCAATACATGAAAGATGGGAAAGGTAGAAGTCCCTTAGGCAATTTTGAAGCCTTTTTGGCTCTATACGCTCCAAGAAGTGAGTAAATGGTCACTTTTCATTGATTTCAATTCATAGAAACCAAAATATAAGGTAATTAATAATGTTTAGTATTATATTGTGTTAATTTGAATAAATACTTGAAAGATGGGAAAGGTAGAAGGCCCTTAGGCAATTTTGAAGCGTTTTTGGCTCTATACGCTCCCAAGAGTGAGATAGTGGTCAATTTTCATTGATTTTAATTTATAGAAACCAAAAAAATAAGATAATTAAGGATGCTATGTGTTACATTGTGTTAATTTGAACCAATACTTGAAAGATGGGAAAGATAGAAGTCCTTTAGCACAATTTTAAAGCCTTTTTGGCTCTATACGCTCCCAAAAGTGAGTAAATGTTAACTTTTTATTGATTTCAACTCATAGAAATCAAAATACAAGTCAATTAAGGATGTTATGTGTTTTGTTTCTATATTATGAGTTTTATTTCTATAATTTGGTTCATCACATTTATTCTAATGGTTTTTTTTATTATGGATTGTTTTTATTTTGTAACCTCTTTCATTTGTTTTTTTTTTCAATAGGATTTTTGTCCAAGGACCGCCCCGTATGATGTTGACGAGTTGAATGTGGTTCGAGAACAATGGGCGCAATACTTTAGAAGTAAATATTTATTGAATGCATAACTATTAGCTTAGGTAGAACAACATAATATTTTTAGTGTTGTTGTATATGTTGGATAAATTTATACAAGTTTTTATTTGTAATGTGTTACTACTTCAGTTTTTATATTACGTCGTATTAATTTTTACGAAAGATTGTTTGGTATAATTGCTTATTTACAGGAACAGGTATATTATAACAAGTTGTAATTAATATATATTAATTATATATAAATACATGCTGTCGAAATTAAATAAAATGAAAAATTAATTTAATAATTATTTGTAACGGGCAGCAAAATTGTCAGTTACAAATAACCAGTTATTCGTAACGGGCACTTTTGTTGCCCGTTACAAATAAGTGTTAAATTATATACAATAAAACTCTATTCGTAACGGACATCTAAGATGTCAGTTACGAATAATCACTTATTCGTAACAGGCGTTTTAGGTGCCCGTTACGAATAAGGACTTATTTTAATACAAAAAAAATTTATTCGTAACTGACAATTCAGATGTCCGTTACGAATAACCCCTTATTCGTAACTGACATTTCAGATATCCGTTACGAATAATAGGTTATTCGTAACGGACATTTTAAATGTTAGTTACGAATAACCCATTATTCGTAACGGACATCTGAAATGTCAGTTACGAATAATGAGTTATTCGTAACGGACATTTGAAATGTCCGTTATGAATAACTCATTATTCGTAATGGACAGTTCCCGTTACGAATAACAATGGCCATCCGTAACGGCGGCATACGTAACGAACGTTGCCCGTTACGGATGGCCCCTTTTTGCCCGTTACGGATGAGGTTTTTTCCAGTAGTTAATAACTCAAAAATTTATATAAAGAAGAAGAAAACTTTAAAGATTGAAGGGAAATGAGGTAAAGAGGAGAGAGAAAATGTTAAATTGAGAAGAAAACTGAAGAGAGAGAGAAATAATAGAGCTAAGGAAGAAGAAGAAAGAGAATTAAGATATAAGAAAGAAAAAAAAACGTATGTTCATTTGAACGTACTATATGTTCACATTTAATGGTGTTGTAGCTAGCTTGGCTACACTAGAATGCAGCCAAGAATTTGCAGATACTCTCACATCACACTTGTTACTGTTTTGAGACTTTTAGTGTCAAATAGAGTTGGGCCATCTGATGGTGGGCCTTGGGCTCAATTACAGGCCTGAATATTACACTCAATATTTTTTTAAAATAAAATTAATTCATAAATAAAGTCATACGACATCTACAAAGAGATTTAGATCTAATCTAATACTACGTATATCATATAACTAATATATAAAGCTAAACTTTTAGCCAGGTCACGAGGCAGCGACACTTGGCGTTCCACTTTTCGCCAAGTGTTGCGTCACGCTGGATAGATTTAAATAGACTTAATAAGATAAAAAATTTAATTTAGAATTTTATTTGGATAAGATTTTAGAATAAAATTGTTGGTTTATAGTTTTATTTTCGATAAAATACCAATATTTCATAGGTACAAATTCAATTACTTCCTCTGTTCTTTTTTACTTGACATGTTTCTTTTATCACGCTTGCCAATGTAAAACTTTAACGGTCAATAACTTTAATTCTTAATAATTAAAAAATATAAAAGTTTTATATTATTATAGTTTTTATTGAGACGAGTTCAAAATGATCCAACATAAATATGTTTTTCCTTACATATTATTCACAAAACACGGTCAAAAGAAAGGTGGTGAATAGTGTAAAAGCCAAAGCGGGTCGAGTAAAAAAGAACGGAGAAAGTAAAATTTTAATCAAAAAATTATTAGATTTTAATTCTCAAAAATTATCACATAAATTTATTTTTTACATCATAATATTACACGGAGTGAAAGAAGTAGTTCAAAGCGTAAAACCTCCATTTATAATATATACTAATCGGTTAAAAAAATATACTTCACAATCTAATAGAATTTTATTACTATAGAGACCAGTCAAGGTCGGGTCATGAGTCATCTCGGATAGGGTCACTTTAGGTTACGAGTCAAGAAATGTTCAACCCTTGCCCAAAGTTTTGGGTTCGGGTCAACCCAACGGGTTTTGAACATTTATTTTATTTAATTTACTTTTTGCTAATTTTTTATTTTTTTAATGTATTAAATTGAATATTTCCACCAACATTATTATTAGTCATTACATGTCTACTAGATAGCCAATAATCATAAAAGCACAACAATTCCTTAATAATTTTGTATCAATTATATATTTAAAATCTTTGACATATAGATTAAAAATTGATCTTAAAATTCAATAAACAACCCGGCATCACACAAGGCACAAAACTAGTATATATATAAAGGGGAGTTTTTTCCCTAAGTTTCTAGAGAGCGACGTAGGATTTAATTTTTTCAGCGTGCCATGTAGGATAATAAATTTTAGTGGTAGCCAATTAAATGCGAGATTATTAATTTCTGTAAGAATTAAATAATTTAGATGCCACGTAAACAAAATTGACGAATGAAATTTCTCAGTTTAAATTAATTAAATATAAAATATTATCTTTTGATATCATGAATTTTATCTAAATATATAACAAATTTTAGCACATAAATCTATATATAAAAAAAATTATTTTAAAAAATTCAAACGAATGAATTGTGCGTTACACGGGCTTAATCTAATGAATAAATAATAATTGAATCAAATAAAAACATTCCGTAAGCAAAACTATGACCGTTTTTGCAAATGGTACATTCTTCATACCCTCTTTCATATCGCTATGATTTACAGCCTTCATCGGCGAGGGGGTCTATCGATCTGTTGTAGCCGTGCAGAAAATTTCCATCTGATTTGCTAGATTGTAATCGAAATATTAACCTCTTTTTCGATCCCGCAAA